TGTTTTTGCCTTATTTGTGTGAATATTTTAAATATTAGCAAAATAGCCAGTATCTTGAAAAACAACAGGATTCTTACATAAGAACATCTGGGTGTTTGGGAATAGACACACTCTCCCAAAACCAGCACACCTTCCTAGACTTGTCTCAGCCCTTCCCTTGTTGGGTTACTTGTTACTTGTTAATATTTCTGACATCCCTGGAATATACATGCTGCTAAATAAACTTCTCAGAACAGTGTAATTTACACAAAGATCCCCCCACTAGGTATTAGCTGCTAGTTTCCCTGAGAGAGAGGATTCAACAAAACTAACACAGCTGCTTTGAAGGGAAGAGCTGTTAGCTGGGAAGCACTAGTGAGTTTCCGATCAAATGCAACATGCGTCTGGGCAGGGCTCAAATTCCCTCCAAGGAACCCATTCACCAGACCCATGGTCGTGAAACCACGAAAAATACTTGCTATTTCTCACTTTGGTAGGAGCTATCCAGCTCACTTTCACTCAAACTGGGGAGGAGCGGTGACGGACGATAACACACCGGTAATGCACTCAACACGGAGCACATCCAGACTCGCCAGCACCGCTCCTCCCTGCGCAGCGGCCTAAGGGCTGAGCTCCGGGAGGCGAGGCAGGGAAGCCCGGCGCTCGGGGAGGAGCGGCCCCGCCCGTTACCTGCCCTCAGCGCGCCGTAGGCCCGGTAGAAGAGCAGCACGGGCTCCGCGCCCAGCCGCGCCAGCGCCTCGTCCGCCGCGGCCCGGGCGTGCTGGAAGAGCCCCTCCTGGCAGTAGTAATTGAGCAGCGCCTGCGGGGAAGCGGCCGCGGGTCACCCGTAGCCAACGCTGCGCCCCGGGACGGCCCCGGGGACACCGCGCCCACCGCCCCGTCCCGCCCCAGCCCGGCCAGCCGCCGCCTCGGCCGCTCCCATCCCTCCCTCCTTCCCAGCCGCTCCCTCCCTCCGCCGGGACGCGACGGCGGTAGAGCCCACCTGCTGCACCTCGGCGTCCATCGTCGCTACCCGACGCCACTGCGGGGGGGCTCCGGAAGGGTGAGGACGGCGCCCTGCCATTGGCTCGGGCGGGAAGGAGGCGGGAGAGACACGGGAAGAGAAACTCCTGGAAGGCGGCGGGCGGGAGCCGCGGGCCGAGCCCGAGGGAGCGGGCGGGAGGCTGCCGCTGCTTTGGCGCCCCCTGCCGGCGGGCAGCCGGCCGTGCCTCGGGAGCGCTCGCCGCCGGAATGGCCAATGGAAGCTTTGGGAATGTGTTTGTTTCCTTGCTTTTCTTGGCTGAATTTACGACTAAGTGGCTCACATTCCATACGTTTCATAATGTGACTGAGCACTTACAGTTATGTGGCACTTCTCTTAGAAATGCAATAGCAATAGGGTCAAATCAGATAGAGGAATTTCAGTTTTCCGCTCTCCTTCTTTCCTCCTGGAGAATTAGAGTAGCAAAGACTAGTAAAATTAGAGTTTTCCTATGGAGGCGAAAGCACCCTCAGCCATAATTTCTAGACACCAGAAACAAAGGTTGCTAAAGAGCATTCCTTTGGAATGGGAGCGCAGTCTGCCCACCAGGAAAGCCAGCAGTGATGCCACCAAAGACAAGGAGCAGAACCCAACCTGCACGGAGTTTGTAGAAGCTGCTTGACTCTTCTTGCAGAGAGTGCTCAAAGTGACCTTTCCTAGTCCATTACACGTGCAGCTCCTTTGTCACAAGTTCTCGTCCCAGCATCAGGAAGGTGCTAAAGAAGCACTGTGCAATAAGCATTCTTGGGTTTCCTTGTTGGCCAAGACAATCCTCTGCTTTTCCTGCTGTGTTTATGTTCTGCTTGTCTTGTTCTGAAGCAACATTGAGGCTTCTGTAAAATTTAAAAACTATTAGAGGTATGAGAAACAAGTTGGGGTTTTTTACATACTTTTTAAGGTAACCATTGAAGACATATTCTGTCCACATATTGATCTGAAAATACTTATCGTTTCATTTTGATACTAGGCATTTTGAATCAAATTGTAGACCTCTTTGTTCATAATGTATTTGACAACAATTTTACAGAGAAAAATTTCCCTCTCTTGAAAAATTGTTGATGAATTTCAGGGACAATGCTATGAAATTTTATTTCTCAATTAGCCACTAAGCAAGCTTACAGACTACAGCTGCTCATCAACTGGTTTCAGTATTCACCGATGATTGTTTTCATTGTAAGTTTAGGGAAATGCAATATAAAATTATGTAAACATGTAAAATTAATACTTTTGGAAATTCACTGAAGCAGTTGATAAAGAATAAGGAACAGGCCCACTTTCCAGATGCATTTGCTTTTTCCCCCTATTGGTATCCACAAATGGTTGCTGCTAGGAATGGGGTGCTTTCAGAGAGATTTTGAAAAATTCTTGAGGAAAAACCAATGATTTATTTATTCCAGCACCATTCACCTTTTTCAGACATGCACCCACATATGAGATGCTCTGTAGCCTATTTGTGAGCAGCACCCAGCAAGAATTAACTGGCTCTCAACCCAAGCTGGGGAATGTCATGGATCTAGTGCTATTTTCTGCCCTCATTTTGTCTTTGTAAACCCTTGAACACTCAGTTCTCATTGCTGTGACTGCTCTGAGCCTCCTGGGACACACTCAGGGCAGCTCTGGTATTCGATGGCTGTGCACCCCCTGCATGGGGCTGCTGCATGCAGTCGCTCGGGGCAGAACTCCTGATACGTGCAGAAGCGTCATGCTCACTGTGTAACACACATCAAGTGAGAAATTCCTAATTAGTGACTAACAAGCAAATCCCAAGAATTTTCTTAAGTGGAAGAACAGTATAGCTGCTGTAGAGGTTTTCAGTATCCTCTCATTCTGTGGTTTAAAAGCATACCCTTCTTTATATTACTGTCAGATAATAAACACAAAAGGAACGTACAATAAAAAATGTAATCTTTATTATTTTGACGCATTAATAATGTTCTTTAGCATCAGTTAGGGTAATAGCATTTTTCTGCATGCAGTTCACTAATACAGATTTAGTCAATAATTTTAATAAAAGTAATCTATATTTAATTTTCCTGTGTAAGAAACATAAAATGTCCTGATGGATTGGCTTATTCAATTTTGCTACTTTCTCTTTGTGAAAAAATATCGTGGACCCTAGATAATATTTAGAACTGTTCTAGTGCAGCATGATTGGAAAAAAAAATCTGTGAGTAAACATGAGAAAAGATTCAGGATTCTCTGAAAGAAAGGTTGTATCTGAAAACTGATGATGCAGGCACTGCTTAGACATTCAATTTGAACTTTAGACCATTTTCCCATCTGCAAAAATAAAAAAAACAACTTAGCTTTTTAGAAGCAAATTATGAACTTATTTCGCAGAAATTATTTATATGTTGGCAAATACTGTAAAAAATAAGATCCTACAGTTATCCATTCATTTAGTTGTATCTTGTTCTCTGGAGTTCTTCTGTGAAAAAGTGCTATGGACTGAAAGTAACAAAAATGCTGTGACATCAACCTGAAGATAAAATCCAGCTCTTGTTTTATGTACATAATGCTGAAAAATAAAATAAAATGATTTTTACAGTATTTATATTTGCTTATAAAATCCTAACATTATTTTCAACAGGTTTAGTAGTTTTCAACATCTGTACAGTTTGGATATACACTATATGCTTTTCACTGAAAATTCAGAAATGTAAAACAAATAAGCTCCTAAATAGCTGCAAAGTATTGCTTAATGGTATGGAGGAATGAGGTCTTTTTGAGTAGTTTATTTCATTTAGCTCTGATGTATGGCTTCCCATGTTTAAGAATCCTGGACAGTCAAAGGAATAGCAGCATAGGCAATATAAACATGCACTGATTGCATCCAAACTATCTATAATGGTAGATAATACATAATTTTACCTGTTGAATGCTTGCACACTACACTTATTGTGGTACATATTTGATGCAATAAATGTGCTAAAGTCATTATCTGTTTGCTCAAACATGCACCACAGGTTAAAAATTATTTACATAGCAGAGGGCTTTTCATTAATGTGTACAACATCAACCTTACTGAGAGCTGAAGATGGCTAAACAATACTGCAGGATAAAGCAGAACAACTTTATAGAGGGCTCTTTTTGATCAATTTGGTGGGCTGAGGCAGATTCATTTAGTATTTGTATGCAGAAAGACATTTGACAAAGACAAAATCTGTGACTCCAGACCTAGGGAGAAGTTTGCACCTTCTGAAACTTAATGGTCTGTGCAAAAAGTAAACCATATTTACTGTTCTTGTGACTTGTAGAGGACTTTACAGGCATACTAAGACTTGTTTGAACATGATACAAAATGAATACATTAATTAAGCACCTCAAAATCTGTTATTCCTTTCCAGAAACACTGTGCTAAAAAAAAAATCTGTTGTTCTTTGTGACTTAATGTTATTTTCATGCATGATCTATAAGTGCAGCATGCCTTCATGCAAATAATTTCTGTGTGTATATTAGTTGTATAATAGAACACCTGGCCCTTGTACCTGTAAAGGTGTACTTAATTCCCTTCCCCAACAGAAGCCCCATTTACAAAAATAGTCACATATAATAAACAACATATGAATAAAAACAAGATGAATCCACCAACACAGATTTTGTAAAAATATGAAGTATGTGGCAGTTGAAATGCAAACAGTGGATAGAGTTACTGTATTGTTTTATGCTAAACACACAAATACTTGGTTTCACACCCCTTTAACTGGTCCCTACAGTCTGTGTAGCCATTTTTCTCTCCTCTTCAGCAGTGTCAGCTGGTAGTGAGAACAGTAACCTCCTGTCAAGGTTGTTTCTTCTTATCACAGTCACAGTCACTGACAAGGGGTCACTGTCTTTTAATAGGCACTGACCTTTAATGTATTTGTAAAAATTGTCAGTTTGGCATAGACCTCCTTCAGGAGTCCTGTTGACACAAACACATGATCCTTACAGGCTATGAACTACTTTGCACATATATGATTTTTCTTGCTATTTGCTCTTATTTCTGACCATCTTTATCTTCCTTTTCATGCTTTTCTTTGACTGGCCTTATTACACGATCATAAGAAGGCGGACAAACTGCTGTTGATGCGGTTATATCTGTTTTCTCTGTAAATGAGTTTTCATTTAACTTGTCAATAAGAATTTCATCTTTCATACCCTGACCAGCCCCACCTTCAGTTTTATTTTTGTTATAGATAAAGGAAGCTTGTTTTACTGTTCGTTTTAAAAGGTGACGTCTGTAAGCACGCTGAATGATGACAGCAGACACCTCCTCCTGCTTTCGCTTCAGTGTGGTTGTAATTGGTTCATAGGAGACTTTAGAAGGATTGGCTGCCATAAACCGATCTTCCATCTGTATTCTGAGGGCGTCCATCTCCCCACTTTCCCCCAAAACACGCTTTGTGAAAGCAAACAAGATGTCAAGGCAGTGAATTCTGTCACCGCTCACCATGGGCAGATCCATTGCAATAAGCTGGACTTTGTTAGGTTTGGGTAGATGAAGAGGAGGCTCAAGTGCTGCTGCAAAATCAGACAATTTCTCAAATTCCATGAACTGTGTTGCATCGGGATCAAACTTCTCCCAGACTGGAGATACAAAGTACTTCTCAATCATCTCAGCCAAAAACATTCCTAAAAAAGAAAGAAAAAGAAAAGAAAACGAAGGTACATTATCACTTAATCTTTGTATCACAATAGAAATTTAGAAACACAGTTTTAAAACTGGCAATTTTATGTAGCAATTGAAGATATTCTGTAGATTACACTGGCATAATTTCTGTTACAGCAGTTATATGTAATATTTGCAGATGCAGTAAGTATTGGATGATTATAACAATTTTGATGGTTGTTTTAGCTAAATTACGAATTAAAATGTCAAGCTGAATGACTTGGCAGTAAATCTCATGGTGGCAAAAGCTCACCATACAGCTCTATTCAAGTAAAAGTTTACCTCCTATTCATTTTACCTTCCTTTAAGTTTAATTAACAAGACTTACCTACTATAGAGAGAATGACAACCACAAAATCAAAAATGTTCCAGCCTATAGTGAAGTAGTAATGGCGAAGTGAAATTAATTTCAGGACAAATTCTCCAGTGAAAAGGACAATGAATACCAGGTTTATCCAGTATAAAATATTTTCCATTTCTTTGCTCTGGTCATCTGTTTCTACCATCATGGTAACCATGTTAAGACAAATAAGAATCATGATGCTGATATCAAATACTTGCTGTGTCACAAAATCAAAGACCATTCCTTGGAATTTATTCTGAGGAAGAAAGAGAGAAGAAACATCCAATACAAACTGTAATTTATTTACATTTCCTGTTAGAAGAAAGTAGAAAAAACACATGCAGTAAGCCTTATGAGACTTCAATAAAATTTTAACTAGCGTACACTAGTTGCTAATTGAGTACTCAAATACAACAACTTAGTTCAGCCTCCTTTGTTGCATATCAATATATAAAATAGTTGTAAGTGAAAAATTTTTTTTCTTTTATTTTTGTTTTCCATTTCTGCTGACTAAAGCCCCAGTTACTGATAACTTTCTGCTCTCCCTGTATCAATAAAAACTCTTTGTAAATAGCTATTTGTCTGATGTGTATAAATAATGTTACCCCTGGTCTTGGTATGGGTTTTTGTGGTTTTTTGGATCCCAGCTTTTTCATTGCATTGTAGTATTTCTTCTGCTCTTCTGTCATGAATATGTCTTGACCTCCAAAGTAAAAACATGAAATCAGAACTGGTTATAATCACATTTATATGCAGTGCTGAAAAAACTGAGTGATTCAAAAATCAAGAAGACTAAATCGGGAAAAATCTCTTAGCTATCAACTGGATCTGTCTACATTCTAAGTATTTTTTCTAGAAATCTGGACATCCAGTACTGTATCTCTCAAAAAAAATAAAATGCAATCAACATCTTTTTACAGTTCTTTTCCTGGAACTCCAAGATATCATTTCTCTTACCTCTTTTCTTTTATAGTAAGAGATACAGTAAAGAGTATTTGAGATAAATTCAGATAGTCTGGGCTGATCAATACTGTCACTTCTGAACTGTGATTTTAGTACAACAAAGGAAAAAGACAAAGTCAGGTTTTCAGTACAGAAATGTGCTTTAGGTATCTCTAGTTTAGCAGTCACATTAGTTAGCAATCACATTAGCATTTGGGCCCAAAGTCTTCAAGGTTCTTGAGAAGATGGATTATCAGACTTTGGAGAAACTGCTGAAGATTGAAGCACCCTTGGTGCTATTAACAGCAAAATGTTCTCTTTAAAATCTTTGATTTTGATTAGTTCTGTATTCAGTGAAGTATTTAGCAAAAGCATGAACCTGCCTTTGAAGTCGGACTGAAGATAAAGAAGGAATTATGGGTCTTTCATATTTCTAATCAAAATCCATAGTAACCTTGTGTTAGAGACAGCCTGAATAAAAAACTATGACACTTCCCATACCCCTTGAAGAAATTTTTTCCTAGATAAGAGATACTCATAGACATCTAATTCCAGGAATGCCAATGCACACATAGGACTGGATGCAGCCCTTTGTGGATGACTGTGTGGGAAGCCTGAAGATGTGGGAATGCAAGGACCATAAGCTGGACGGGCTCCCTGACCATGTACCTCTACATTTCTACATCTACAACGCCCAAAAATCTTGCTTAGTATTTCTCATTATTAACATAAACCCAAAGAAAGTGATGCAGTCCAGCAAAGTAAAAATGAAATAGTAGCTCATAGCTGTTTTGGTCCTTGAACTTTCATTGCTTTATCTATTTACAGAAAATAATTTTAAAGGTGACCATCTCCTACTCAGACCATCTATACCAGTGAGATTATCTACATCTGCACTGTGAAACAATAAAAAAGGTCCTGAAATAGTTACAAACCACTCCTGCTCTATATAGTTTCAGATTGTTCAGTGCCACAAAATAGAACTTGAATACTTGGGATCATCTTTAATTGCATGATGAAATGATTTTTTGTATTTCATAACCAGCTAGCTATTTTTTTGTGTTATCATAGAATAACGTAAAATCAAGAAGGGAAAAACCCTAAGAAATTATGAGTGCTCTAATGGGGGGATGTAATTAAGGGGTTGGATCATACAGGAAGACTTCATAAAGTTTAGTGAAATTTCATGAAGTTTAGTGAAACTTCATGAAAAAGCAGATGACTTGAGGAAGACTAAACTGGGAATTGACAAAAGAAGGATCTGTCCCATTCACTACATGAAAAATTTTATGACTTCAATGAATACTGCAGATATGATTTTGTCATAACACACTGCAGCTTTTTCAATTTTGAACAAGTCATGGGTGTACTTTCCATATATCATGCACTTACAAAAATTCATTATTTTAGAATATCTTTAGAAGAGAAATGAAACAATACTTATCTTCTTTTTTTGCTGATTGAAGTTGTCAATAATGACACCAATGAACAAATTCAGGGTGAAAAAAGACCCAAAAATTATAAAGATGACAAAATATAAGTACATATACAAGTTGTCTTCATACTTGGGTTGCTGTAACACCTAAGGGGAAAAAAAAAGAGAAATATGATTCCTAAGACTTCGTGTGAAAATTTCAACCAAACAAATGGCAGCCTTGCACAAAGTGCCACCAATATTTTGTATTTGGACAATATTCCTATCACTTATATCAATATATTTTTTATATTCTGCCTCTTGCTGATAGCATCTGGCAGTTTGCATTCAGTTGCCCACATTTTGTTACCATAGAATCTCATACTCATTTTTCATTCTATTGTATGGATATAATTGCATATTTAGGATAAATACACACTTGTAGATAGACAGACCTCAGGAAAAAAAAGATAATTTAAAATATTTGCAATACTTACATCTCTTGAGTCAATAGCTGCATACATAATATCCATCCAGCCTTTAAATGTAGCCTGTAAACAGTACACACCTGTTTAAGCATTCTAAAGACAATTCATTTAATAATTTCCAGTAACTCAGTACAGAACCAGGAATAATTAATAGCATTAGATTTCCAAAGTGTTTTGCCTCTTGGCTCTCCATTCAGCTGCTCATCGGATATACTGCTGTGTATCCCGTTACTTTGTATTAGATAGGAACATTTTAAACAGTAAGTATGATTAACTTATTTCTAATTAACAAAAATTATAGAAGGCATTTTAGTTCATCAAATCATGTCAAGTGCAAGAGCTATGTACAGCTGGCTGTATAGCCTTATGTAACTGAGTTGCCACCAATTAGGACTAATATGTAGTTCCTCCATCCCAAGTCAGAAAGGTGGCAACAAAATGGAACCAACAATTTGATCATCTATAAAAAGGTATTTTCCTATAATTGGAATATACATTAAAAGATTTTACCTGGTTTAGTAATTCTATGTTCACTTTAAAGATAATATATTGTGCTTTACAGAGCCTAGATGTCACATACATTAAGAGACAAAGTAGTAGGAAGTGTTTCATGTGCATTGAATATTTAATATGCCTCATAAATGACAGCATTTATTGAAATTTTGGAGGTATTTCCTCTGCCCAAAATCTGTACATTTTTATATTTGACAGTGAGGTGTAGATTGCTTCATCAGAATGTTCAAAACAGAAAGTAATTTACTCTGTTGTGGCAATTAGTTCTCTTTTAACTAGGCAACATCTCCAAGTAGAAATCACTTGGTTTTTAATCCAGTTGTGCCCAAAAATAGAGCAAAAAAAGGAAATAATTCTATGTTGTTTAATCCTCATTACAATTTTGCAAAACAAGACTACAGATCATTGGTTCCTTCATTTTCCTTGCCACAGAAACCAGTTGCAGGATAGAATCAGGAATGGAACACTCTTCATCCATTTTATTTACTGTATCACCATCATCTTCAGGTGTCATTTCTAGTGGAAGTTTCAAAAAACCTTTTTTTTTTTTTTATGCAGGACACAGAGCAATTTGGCATCATCCTGAAGTGAACTTAAAATAAGAATTATTTTAAAATAATTTAAAATAAAATTAAAATAATTTAAAATAAAATTATTTTCTTAAAGGAAAGGTCCTTTACACTGTTGGAACTGTGGAATACTGAAAAGAGCATGATGATCCTTAGATGTGAATCCAATGTGCAGCAACTTTCACTTTTTGGGGTAAACACAGGAAATATAAAACTGAGGTAACTAACAGTATGATGGTGAAATCAAAAAGTAGTATCAGAGGAACAATAAACCAAGAATAAACCTGAAACAAGTAGCAGTCAGCTGAAGAATTTAAAGTCCTCGCGGAATACTTGGACTGCAAGGGATTAGGAGAGGTAGATAAAGTGTATTTATGTAATTACTAATATATGCTTAACTTGTTCTCAAAGGCTTTTAATGGTGAATACACCACAACCTTATAAAATTATGTATTCTGGCACGTCCTTTTATTATTTCCTAATGCTTACATCCTTCTGTTGCCATTTAAGACTCACTTGTCATAGCCATTGCATATCTGGAGAACTGCAGGAATCACCTTCATGCAGCATCTCTTACTTTTTGCAAATTGATTGTTGCTGTCTTTCTTTTTTAGGTAGTGATCACTGTTCCTTCAATCTTCCCATGCAACTCTTGTTTTCCAGAACTCTGATCACTCTCTTTATTTTCCTCTGAGGCTATTACACTGGTTCATCTCTTGCAATGGCAACCAAAACAGGATTCAGTATTTCATCTAACAACGTCTAAATAGGGCAAGATTATTACACCATGTCTTACAGTGCTGCTTTTGTTTCTGTCTTGGTACACTATTTGCATTTTTTGGAATATCATGACTTGAAATGAGCACTTCAGTCTGAAACACCATGGGAAAATAATGGGCACACTTTTACTTCAGAAAGATGATGTGAATGATGGGGTGGCACTTGTGCAAAATGTCTGCTGTTGCCTCAGATTCATGATGTTCAACAAGATCAACAAGACTCATGATGATCTTTGCATATCATCCTCCAGGCAAAACAGAATAATTATTGTGTTTTTTGCAAATGTATTGGCATAGCCTAGACTAAGTAGAGTCAATGAAAAAAGATAGACTAACTTTAAAATATTAAGCTTCACCATCATCACTAAAGTACTGCACTATAAACAAACAGTACCCATTAACTAGTGATAGGAAATAGAGCTGAAGAACTGAGCTGTATTATTATTATTGTTTTTGTTGTTGTTGTTAAAAAGGAAACTTGAAAAGAGTGTGGGGGTGGAAAAATAGAAATATAACATATTGCTGTTTTGTGATTTCCACAATGAGGTTCATAAAACTCTAAGATATTAAAAATTTTGAAGAAATTAAGAGAGTCAAGATATCCCATTCAGTGAAAGCATTATTTCTACTATAGATGCATAGACCTGCTTATCTTTATCTGCAATGATATCTATTTAAGAGAAATAAGGTATTGTTTGTGTATTTTTGTATCCTGAAAGAAAATAACACAGAAAATGACCAAGAGATCAAATTATTAGTTTCCATTTTGCATATTACCATATAAAATATATTGTATATCCTCAGTGACACTAAATCAGGAGTAATTAATTGATTTCAAAGATTACAGCAGTATAACTGAAGTCAGCATCTGTTCCAAAGGTGGGTTGTTTTTTTTTTTCTACCAAGGAGATTTTAATGACACACATTCAAATGCAGATCCAAATGTAGTTATAAAAAAGAACAGAACAAAAGTCCCCCATCTCCTTTACTATGGGTAAAAAATAATAGATTTTTTTCCCCTTGATAAATAATTTCTAATGAAGTTGTAAGTCATGCTGGAGTTTTACCACACAATTTCTTTACCAGAAGAAATCACCACAAAGATTCACATTCCCTTTTGGAGATACAATAGCTTCTTGTTTTTAAAATACTAACCTGTTGGAACTTTGAAAGTACCCTAAAGTTTTAGCCTTAGAATTCAGCTTCTGATTTTTTTACCATACACTTCAAGAGATGTGTTGTCTTACTGACATTAGTAACAGTAGAGTATAATATTGTGCTTTGTGACCCACTGGTTTGCCACATTTTATCCTGGTGAGCAGGATAAAAGCAGGCCTCTAGGAGATTTACTTACCAAGGAATCCAAATACTAGGTTCAAGTTAAAAGGCATAAGGCCATAAAATTATCAAGGCAGATGCCACATCTCTTTGTGTACACCAACCTCTTCCTCTTCACTCACTGGTGCATGACAATTGTGAAATGAATTTCTCCAGCAGATCTGTCTCTGCTTTGATGCTTCTCTTTAGGAACAGAGAAATACTCAAGCAAGTTCAGACCAAGAAATGAAAAAAAGAAACTTGAAGATCCACATAAAACCGTATGATCTATGCTATATTATAGAAGAAAAAGATTCTTATAGAAGAAATGTGTACTTATATGACTGATGGCATGAATAATGATACTCCAACTTCAAATTATGTAAGAGTTCTGCAAAACAGTTTGATCAACAAAGTCCATAAACTCAGTTTTATCAATGACATGTATTGTTAGGCTGTATTTTTGGGCAGAAAGAATTGTAACATTGCTATAATACTAAAGATTTTCCACACAAAAATGCCTCCCATAACAGAAAAAAAAAACAAACCAAAAAACCAGGAAATGTCAACTAAAAATTAGGTAATGTTCTTTTCATAGGCCCCTCATTCAAGAAAGTCATTCACCAGCACTGCAAGTAAACTCAAGAAAGAGCTTGTTAGAGAGTTCCTTTTGCTTAAAGTCACTAGCATTTTTTGAGCCCAGAATACTTCTTTCTGAAATTATCTCCCTGCTTTTGAGGTTTTTTGTGTGAAATATATGTGTTCTTTTCCATATCACTCTTAAAAAAAGAAGAGTTTTCTGTGATGAACAGACCCATATACTGCTGGAGACATTAAAAAAAAAGTTTTTCAGAGGTCTCATTTATGTCTTTCCCAGAATAATGAAGCCTTCAATGCCTTGGTTTGAAGTTCTTTTGGCTTGTTTTCATTTTGATTTTTTGTCATAAAAATGGTTCTAACTTCCATTATTATTCACTCCAATTAGTGATACAGACAGTAAGGTTATGGTTCTTGTAACCCAGAAAAGCTGAAGGGATTTACAGCGTTCTTTGGCTGACTCAGAGGGCATGAGCCAGAGGGCAGAATGGAGATAATGGGGAATAAGAGGAAGCTTTCTGTATTTACTTTCTGGCCTCCTGGCCTTGTATCAGTAATTCATGCATTGATACTCTTCACAGAAACTGTTTTTAGAAAAATGACATTGACCTCCCAGGGGTTATTTTCTCAGGTCCAGCGCTAGTAAAAGTCTGTGCCTGAGGTTGTTGAGGTGCAGAACCAAATGAAGTCAGTAGAAATGCCATTAATGTTCACTTAGGGCAAACAGAAAGCATATCCACTTGCAACCATGGTTTTATAGTCAAAATTTTCAGGCTCAGTATATACTTTTAGGCCAACTGCTAACTTTCAATAGCTTTATCTTTGTTTCTGACACAGTAATGTGTACCTCTAACTGAGTCATATTTGAGCATTTAGTCTTCTTGCTATTGCTGCAAGCTGTTTAGGAAGGGTAGGAAAATCTAGAGCTATGACATACCTATTCAAGTCTCATGTTTGTTTTGACATGATGGCTTTGGAGTCCTGTTCTAGAGTTTGATCCAAAGTACTTTATATGTCAAATAGAAAATCACCGTATCAGTCTTTTTTGATTGAGAAATCAATGTAAGAATCTCAAACAGTTATGAATTGTGGCCTTGTTTTCTTGAAGGTGAAAAAACATAAGACTCTCTACATTTTGATGCAATAACTGAAAATCAAGCTGATATTATTCTTTCTCAATCCTAGGGCTCTTATAATTCCATAACTGCAAAATCACTACTACTGGCTACTTACCAAACCCTAAAAGATGCAGGGATGATATTTTGTTCAATGACAGAAATGCCCCTGCTTTTTCTGCTATGTCAAACAAAAAAGTCTTGATGATTTCACAAGCATTTTAGCAATATAGAAAAATTAAGTGCTGTCATGAACATTCTACTCACACAAAAAAATCCTCCATCATTACATAAGTCTCATGTTCTTGTAAGTTCTCTACATTGTAGATACTGTACAAACAAACAGGCTCATTCTGCATGAGAGCAAGGTCCCTCTCTGGTAGATGTAGATGAATTTTTCCTTTGGAATTGTGGGAATCAATGGCAAATTTCTCTTAATTTGCCTCCTGAAAAGTCCAATAATTTAAGAATCTAAGTCTTAATGTAAGGAAATATTTGTGTCTTTTCAATAAATAGAAGATGAAATAATCTATGCATAGCCAGGACACTGAAATAGCAAGTAGCTTTGTGATTGCAGCCACAAAGCCAGGAAAGAAATGAACCTGGAATAATGACTTGTGTCCCAGAGCAAAATAGGTTACTACTAGAAAGAGAGTTGCAAACTACTTGGAAAGAGTTCTGTTCATGTCTTGTTTCTCCTAAACACCTGTAATGAAGCATTCTGACTCCCTGGGTGAGTAGACTTCATAAGTAAGGCAAAGAAAGTAAGTACTTAAACTCTTTAGTTATCAAAATGAAATTGTATTCAGTTCAGTGTTTTATTTCTTTAATACTATTGGTCCCTCTCCACTCTTTCCTGATGTGACAGTAAAGTGAGGAATCATAATGAAATTTAAATGTACAGACTTATCAGTCACACAGGTAAGATGCTGTATTAGCTGGGAGAGGCAGTTCACATTGCTCAGAACTATTGTTTTAGACCTTGTGCAGGACAATGTCCATAACACTGCATCATGTTAATGATTTGGTTTACTGAGATTTTGTATAAACAACAGAAAATCTGGGAACTTATGTAAAAGCAATAAAAATGAAGCATAAGATACTGCAGATTTAGACAGTAACCTCAATAAACCAAAAAAAAAAAAAAAAAAAAAAAGAAGTTGCTGAAGGTACACGACATAGGTAAAAGTCCAGCATTGTCTTGATTAAAGCTGGGTCAGATTGGTAGCTGCTTCAAAATACAAAGATAGACAGTGTTGTGACACCATTTTTGATATTGAAGGTGTAATCTTCTAGTATCTCTCCGCATATATTTTCTTTCTTCTTCCCTCAGATTTTGCTAAAAATCTCTGAGGTCCTTTTGCACAGAAGTATCAGGAAAATATTTCAAAGATTATAGTATCAAATGCTATTTTTCTTTTCTTATTTCTCTTCTAAATGAGAAATTGCTTTTTAGATTAGATCTGCCCTGGTGGCAGCCACAAACCTGAGATGAGATTTATTACCCGGAATTCTTTGTGACTTTATCACACCAATAGAGATTTTTTTTTTCAGCAACTGGAAAACTTAAAATATTTAGATACCTGAATACCATTCCCAGGTAATTCTAATTTAAAAGTTAGAAGTGGCTAAAGGACTAAGGGAGCCATAATTAGGAAGTTGTGTCATTAGATGTCCTAAAGATTCTTTATTCATCATAGCAGACTCTACTTGCTGCTTATGATGAAAAGAGTAATCAGTTACCCATGTAGCAGGACTACTAAGTCACAGATAAAAGTCATCAGGTAAATGTTTTGTCTCTTTGTTGCTAGAATTGCTTTTCACTACTGGATATAAACAGGAAAAGGTATATAAAGAGTGATCACTTACTACTTGAAGTAAAGAAAGATACCCAAATCCTACATTATCAAAGTTTACTTTCACGTTTTTCCATCGGGCACTTTGATTGTTTTTTATGAGCTCCTCGCACTGACTAAAATTGTTGATTTGGTCGACTTCAAACCTTTCATCAGTTGTGGTGTTAACACAGTAGTAGAACTTCCCAGCAAACAGATTTACTCCCATGATGCTGAAAATTAGCCAGAATATAAGACAAACGAGAAGCACGTTCATGATGGATGGAATTGCTCCTAAAAGGGCATTCACAACCACCTAGTACACAAATACAGGGGGAAAGAGAAAAGAGTATAAGCATATTTACAGCAATACATTTTTGTATACTGTTTCACCATTCCTTAATAAATTCAGAAACTAATATTATAAATTTTAAAGCTGTACATTAATAACTGTAGCATTGCATCATTCCTTTAAATTATTAACATTAGTACATGTAATGAAAAGAAAATAAGGGAGATAATGAAAATAATTAATAGAAAAACAAAAGAGAAGACTTGGCAGTAGTACAATGATGCCTGACACTGACTTGTTCTAGATAAAAAAAAAAAAAACAAACGTGCTAAATGAAAAATGTAGACATAATAGAATTCTAAAAATGAATGAAATTATAGCTTAAACAATGTTTAAAGCAAAATGGCAACCTGTAGATTTGATCAACATAGTTTTGAAATTTAAGCTGAAAATACAAATGCCATGAATCTAGAAACTAAGCTCTACATAAAAGAATTATGCGCGAATTAAAGACATAACTTTATTGCCTTATTGTTCCATGCAAGATTATAACAAAGATTAATTTCTTTGTATACGAAAGCAAGACAGGTTTGCAATATGTGTCTACTTGAATCAACATAATTTATTTCAAGCTCCAGTCTTGTTGTTTCATTAATTAAGTTAGCAATACCCTTCATGTATCTAGACAAGGATATATTTAGGACTTCTGATTTTGCATTTTGAATTACTTTTGGGGGGGGTTACCTTCTCAGATATTTGCAGACAAGATGTCAATATATCTTATTTAGATAAAAGGTGCATTTTTCTGATATATACAGAAATTAATCACATGTGTCTGTCAGACCTAGCAAAACTTTTGTGATGAACAATTATTTTTCCTTAAGTATTCCAGCTTCTCATTTACAAGTTATATTTTATTTAAAAGTTTACAGTTTTTCTTTTGTAAACTTTTGGGACCTGGTAGGAAGGTAAAATAAAATATGAAGTAGGGTTCTGACTTTCAGTAATCTAAGTCCTGCAGCGAGGCAGGAAAGGATTGGCATGGATATTGGAGTACATTAAGTTGTCTTAGTCCATCTCTGTTTCCTGCAATATAGACACATTCTCCCCACTACCAACATAGTTGTGAGCAAGCTCAGAACTGCTCAGTCTCACTACCTGTATTTCACAGCCTCTAGAAGGCCTTTGGAAGAGGAATATTGTGTTTGTGTTATTTGTCACTCAGCACCCTCCTCCCCTCTTCCTCCCAAGTGTTATGGCCAGCAATTAGGACCTGTTTAGACATCTTAGGTAGAAATGTTGTTTTTGGGGCATATTTTCTTTTCATTTAGAACGGTCTCCTCCATTGCCAGACAGTAGAAATGGGACCTTTCTGTAGCAGAATAATCCTTATCTTCTATAAAACCACAATTTTACTTTTTAAATTTAGCACTTTTTAATTTTATTTTTTTTACATTGCTAGTATTTTTGGTGATAAAAAGATACCAGTAATAAATCTGTTGCTATTTAGCTTCATGGAATTGAGAACAACATGAAAATTAGAAATGGAATTAGAAATTCTGAAATTTGTTCCAAGTCTGACCTGATCTATGACACTGCATTAGGCTATTGCTGCTTTGAAATTCTAGGCCAGCTAGTGTTTGTCTTTTTTTTCCCCCACTCATAAAAATGTTCCAGATGTGTTACACTGATTGAATTCCTCTGTATAGTCTTGATGAAAAACCTGAAAATAAAGATGTCAGGAAAGAAAGATGGGGATTTAGTTCTGCAACTCAAATGAATTAAGGTTACCTCTGCTCACACAAAGAATGGTTTTGCAAAAACTGAGTGCTTGTAGCAGTTACCTTTATAACAACCCTGGTCCATTGAACCACAGCACAGATCCAGAACAGGCAGAAGAATACTAACAGCAACAATAACTGTTACAACAATTATTGATAATTGATAATAGTTGTAGAAAAAAAGATTTCTACAAAATGCATCAGTGCGTCTTGCACTTGATAATCTTTAGATGAACAGATAATGCAGTCTCACCACTGAGACTAAGGAAAGATCAGACACATCTTCTTGGAAAAAAAGAGAACAGCTTCCAGCAACTGTTCCAACAATGCTTCCAACAACTTAATTCATAGAGGTCACTGAAAACTCATCAAATGGTAACAATTTTTGGTCACTACTGACCTGGCCTGGATGCGAACTGGTGACCTAGAGATGAAAGGCTCTGTATCCTATTACCAACCCCTTGAGCTATCCAGTCCCCCTGGAAGGTTTTTTAAGGAAAGAAGAAAAGAAAATTAAAACTTTTAGAAGTTGTTTTCTCTTTGCATTTTTTTTCTGTTTGATTTTTCTTCCTCCGCAGTGTTGAGCCTTATCCCTATCATATTTATAATGTAAAACTGTATTGTTACACATTGTCAGATGCACAGCTGACTGTAAAGTCCTCCTTAGCAAGAGGTCTTTAATTGCTTCAACACATACACTTGGAGGTAATTGCCTTAACAATGTTTTTCTGTTTTACTTTTTTTTTTTTTTTTTAATTTATATTTGCTTTGGGAATTAGCTGAGGTATCTCAGGGATAACCAGGACATTAGCTTAATATATATCCGAGATTGCACCCATACATACACAGACAACACATAAATTACAGCAAATGGGCAGAAGAAAGGGAGAACCAATTGAAAAATGAACTGAATGCAGAAAAGAGGTCAATTAGCATTTCTTAATTAGTTAATTTAGCAAATAAAAATTGCCATTCTCGTCTTGTTGGAAAGAGTCTGTAGAAGGTTAAAAGAATGTTGGCAACTACAAGTCTTATTTTTTGTTTGGTCTTTAAATGTAGATCAAATATACATGATTCAAAATGCTTTTTTTTCTTTTAAAAGGGGCTGTTCTCTTGGGCCTTTTTTCTGTTATTTCTTGATACAGAATATAATGCCAGTAAATTGGAAAAAGATACTTGCATAGTTGTTTCTTTGGTTTTATAAATTACCTATGCATTTCCTCAAGGCTGAGATGTTGCTGGTCAGGCTGATTCCAGTGAGCAAAGCTGCAAAAGCCCAAGTTGATTCTGCTTGTTCACCTTCCTATAGCTTCAGGTAGGTGGAACCAGCAATAAGAACAACTGATGCCTAAAAAGACAAAGGAGCTCTAGACTATTTTACATTTCAGTCAACATTCATCCAGGGGGAAAAAAAATCATTGTGGGAAACCACATCTCATCTAGAAGAAAGCAGTATTTCATATATATACACCATTTTTCATGTTTAAATTTGTGTAACGTTTATCTTCCAATATCAGTTTTATATATAAGATAATTACTGCAATACTAATTGTATGTCCTATCTTCTGGCCAATATGACTTTCTTTTCAAGGCAAATTAGTAATCCAGATGTTTTTCATGGCTGCTGTTTGTATCTTCTTTTGAAAAAATATCCAAAGAAAACAGTAAAAACTGGACAAAAAAAGATCAGTTTTGCTGTCAGAACTGTTCATATGTGTATAATGAGAATTGTACAAAACACCAGCTTATCCCTGCTGTATGAATAGAACATAAGGAAGCTTTACTAGACTGACCCCTGCTGTGGGAGACATAGCTGAACACATAGTGAGATACAAATATATTTTAGTTGCCAGGGGAACGTATTTCCCATGGATCCTGATACCTCAGCTGCCACAGACTTTCCAGGACTTCCTACATTGGAGCTGAGTAATGGATATATCAGGGCCTCCTGAAATCTGTGAACAAACAAGGAAAAGTCTTTAGTAGTACTTATCCACTTTCCCCATAACTTTTGCAGATTCTGTGAAGTTCCTAACTTTCTTCCTGGTGCAAATGAGGAGGAAGTTACCATCTTTGGGATGGAAAGGGAGATTATAGGACTGTGTGTGGAACATTCTTTCTACTCAAAATTAAGAAGTACTTTATTTGCCTCCACTTGGAAGGTATCAGCTTTGTAATTTATGCTTAAATAGGACAAGTTGACAAAGAGCTGCCCGAGACAACATTTGCAGTGAGAGATGGAGAAGTGAACAAGTAGACATTGGTTTGGAATCTTGGTGCAGCACATAGGTAAGACTGCTGGAATGGCAGGAGGTACACCACGAGTGGACACAGATGCAGGCACAGGTGACAATGGGATCTGCATTTACCACGTGCTCATAGGGAAGCACCTGGAGGACAACACACAAGGAAGTCTAGAACACTCTGAAACCACGCTGATTGACCAAGTGGGTATCAAGTAACAAACAAGTGTATTCTCTCTTAAACTGCGGAAGAGCAGAGGCAGGGGAAGAAAGGACAGAGTAACTGTATGTAAACATACAGCAACTATCCCAGGCAGGGGATCAAAGGAGCATCTGAGGCAGATGATGAAGAAACTCCACCCCTTAATCAAAAAGATTAACTATCTGATGCTGTAATAATGGCTTTCTGTTCTCCCTGGTACTGTAAAATCAATGATGGAAACTGCCTTTTTCTGAAGTTAGAGGAGCCTCTTCTACAAGTCATAACACAGTAGAAAGTCAGTGGGATTGGAGGAAACGGTTATGCGGCTTAATTTAGGAGCAGCTAAGTCAGTTGTAAATGTTTGTAGCAAAAGCAGTGGAGGTAGTGGACCTGAGGGCCAGCAGACAGAATAAAAACATGGCCTAGTGCTGAGGATTAAGACAGACCCTCAGCAGAGGCTCTGGGATTTCTGTCACGGTTGTGTAATGTGAGGTTCAGAGGTGCCCATGAAGGAAAATAACAGGCAGTGCACTACAGGAAAAATATTCCCGCATAAGATACCCTGTCTCATCTGAGTGCATATGTGGAGTTGGATTGAAGATGCTGTTGGGAGGGAAAGGTTAAAACTGGAAAATTTGGGGAAGAGGGAATAGTTTCTCTCAAAGTGAACTTGCAGCTGGGAATGCTAAGCATGTCAGTGTGGGAAAATTCCACTTACTATGCCTAGTCTTGTTTATCCTCTGCCTGTTTTGAGAAGTAGAATTCCTGTGTAGACACAATACGCTCTCACAGACATGC